CTTGCAATAAATTTAGTTTTGGTCCTCTTCAGAAGGGGAAGATAAATATTGTACTCATTTTGCAGGTTATGAAGTTGTTTCTTTTACTTCTTGTTGCTTGCAACCTTTCCTTCCTTAGCCAAATTTCCATGAAAATCTGGATGGGGCACAATCAGTGTTCTAAAATCTAAAAGTTAGAAATGGAACTTTGTGATTGTGTCTTATAATATCAGTCCCAAAAATCCTATCATAGATCATGGGCTTTCTCTCCCTTATAAATCTACTGTAAAAAAAACCACACAATCTAGTATATGAAACAAATCAAATTTAAAATGTCTAGGAAATTTTTGTAGCATCTCATTGTAGCAGACATAATTACCAACTTACATTATCAAACAGATACATGACAAGTTCTTAGTAGCCAGGGATAATCACTGTTGGCATTTTTTTGTATCTAAGCAATAGAAATAAATACAAATTTGGTTTATTTTAAATTATCTTTGGTCCTTTTTCAGACATGGTCATCAAAAGTTTGACCTTTAACCTTTCTCTGATTCAGTGGTTTAAAAATGTAGCCACATTAAAACCATAAGAGCTAGCAAGTAATATATATATATATATATGTTGTGGTCTGCCTGTGGAGCTGGCAGCAGAGTCGGACAGTGAGGATGCTGGGGAGGAACATGGGCCAATCCTGGAGTCTGGGGAAGGCTCGGACAAGGGCTCTGCATCAGAGGCAGAGATGGGGCCAGGGCCATCTGGGAGTTATGTGCGGACTCTGGAGCCTCCAGAGTCAGACATCAGCGAGGCAGAGGAACAGGGTGCGTGCATGTGCAGAGCTGCCAGAAGGTAAGAACAGTTAAAACAAAAGGGACGACTTGGGAGTAGGGCTTGGAGATGATTGGCCCCTCCCATAAGACATCAAGGAGGAGCAAAGGCACGTGAGCCTTTGTAGGAAGCAATGTTGTTCATTCTGGACAGTTTAAATTCTGCAGCTCTGTTTTGACTCTGTGTTCCATATGGCCTTGCAAAGCTAGTTGGCAATTAGGTCTTGGCAGTGTGTCAAGGGAGATAAAGGTGGGTGCTTATCAGCCTTATGCTGAAGGACTGTGGCAGACTTCTGTCGGACTCTTTACAACTATTTGTGACTCATCGGTGAATGAACAGAATGAGAATGACTAGGCTGTGAATGAACAGAATTCACAGCCATTGAAATAAAAAGAGGGTTTTGGGGCACTTACCCACCACTTCCGTGGCCTGGTTCCGATCAGCTCAAGGCCCGGTAGTTAGACAACCCTGTCTTAAACAGTTTAAGGTAACAGATCTCATGCCAGATGCAGAACAATTGAATGAACTACTGTATTTCTGTTACTGTTCCTTGATCTCATGTCTATGGAGGTTCTCAGTCATCCACATCACGGTTGTCCTGAAGGGGCTTTTCTTTTTTAAAGGCCATTGGACTTCCTGATTTTTCTTTAAGACATTTTACTTTTCATCCAAGGAGCTTCCATCTGAAGAAGATTCTTGGAAGAAGTGAAACATCGTAAAGAAAAATCAGAAAATCCAGTTGCCTTAAAAAACAAACAAACCCAGCTTTGGGACCTTGACCTCATGGTTATGATTTGCACACATTTTATTTTTTTTATTAAATTTATTCACTGCCCATCCCGTTCCTGAGACTATAAGTGGCTGATAATAAAACAATATTATAAAAGATTAAAACAGTTAGAATAACTTTGGGAGGTGGATGAGCTGAGTAACAGTGATTCGCCCCAAAGTCACCCAGCCAGCTTTCATTCCTTATGGAGGCCTAGAATTCACAGTCACCTAGTTTTTAGGCCAGCATTTTAGCTGCTACACCAAACTGGTTCTGTCTGTCTGTCTGTCTGTCTGTCTGGCTGGCTGGCTGTCTGATTAGCAAAGGAGGAGGAAATTAGATTCAGATTAAGATTCCTGGTGAGTCCATGCTGAGTCTGACACTTACGAATGCCTAGCTCTACCCTATCATCCTTGTAAGTGAAGCACTTAAGTATTGCTATGTTCCCATTGCAATTCACACTTTGTCACCTGAAGTTTATATATGAAATTAGAAAATGACCAACACTGCACCAAGGGCATAGAAGAATATTTGGAAGTGATGGTAATTCATTTGAAACAAATTGCCAAGTGGTGGGAGAAACCTGATCCAAGGACCAGCCTCCAATAAGAAATACCAAAAAAGCCAAATGAGCTTTAAAGTAAATATTCGCCTCAGAAAATTGTTCTGTGCCACAGATACCAAGCCCCAGAAATCACTGTTTTGCCACAGTTGTGACTAACCGCTTGCCAAATGATCATCTCTATTTGACCATGTTGGAATAAAAATGTGCACTGTAGAGAAGCAGAAAACACAATGAATTCAAGGGTCACACTTTTTTTGTCACACACTGAGGTAGATTGGACATACCCCATAATTGCCAGCTAGTCACATTTTCTCAATGTCGTTTGTCACATTGTGACAGTAAAAGAGAAACTAGTGGGAAAGAAGTTATTTTTAATACATGTCTCATTAGAAGAGCCTTCTCTAGATTTTTTCCCCCCGAAGAAATGCTGAAATAATTTCTAAATAAAAGGAAAAACCAAAATAGAAATTTGCTTAATTCCCCCCTCCTCTTGCTATGAGTTCTGGTAAGGATTATTAGCATTAGAGGTTTTTTTTTTAAAAAAAATAACTATCCGAAATGCACCCCGAGAGAGAAATATACGATATTGTGAGTGATGTGATTAACTGTGGCACTTCACTGAGTTATGGCAGGGGGAATGAGCAGAAAGGTGCCGAGCAGTTTAATGTTAAAGCTGCCATCTCTCTTGGCCCCTTGCTTTACAGTGGCTCCTGTAATTGTGCTGGAAAACTTCCATTAACCTTTTTCTATTTGAGTCAGTTTCTTTGAGTTAATACCATCCAAACAAATGACGCGGTGGCTGTTTGAAGCAGCGCTGGGTAGACGTTTTGTGGAGTTTGGCTTTTATTTGGCATGAAAACTGCAATAGCAGAGAAGGGGAAGCTCCTGCCAAAACATAAACTACTCCACTTATGGCCACATTTATTTATTTGATTTCTATTTGTTGATTTATTCAATTTCTTATTCAGCTTTGCGTTTTAGGGGTGCAATGGCTCAGCGGCTAAAGGTGCTGAGCTTGTCAGTTGGAAAGCGAACAGCGAAGGGTTCAAGGCCTGCATGCCACGTAATGTGGTGAGCTCCCATTACTTGCCCCAGCTCCTGCCCACCGAGCAGTTCGAAAGCTTGCAAATGCAAGTAAATAAATGGGCACCACTTTGGCGGGAAGGTAACAGCAGTCTGTGTGACTTGGTGTATAGTCATGCTGGCCACATGACCTCAGAAATGTCTTTGGACAACGCTGGTTTCCTTGGTTAAGAAATAGAGATGAGCACCGCACCCTAGAGCCAGACATGACTGGACAAGGGAAACCTTTACCTTTTACCTTGACCTTTATTCAACTTTGCTGAGCTTGACAATTTCCATTCCTACTCCAAAATCACCCCAGAGAGAGGAGAGAAAGGAATGGTAATGAGTGTGGATCTCCTTAAAGGTAGAAACGGGCAGTTAAAGTTTGGCACTTCATGGATGGCAATTGGATTCATTCATCTGTCTTGGCAAGTGATGAATAAGAATGTTAATCCTTATGAATGTCCATATCAACTAACCAGGTCTATAGCACTGGAACATCTGGCATTTACTAACCAGCTATAGGGTATCCCAAATGCTTCAATATCTTTAACAGAATACACACTAAAAAAAATGCTTATCTGAGAATAAAAACATCTTATTCTGCATTCTGGAAGAAACATATATGTAAGATCTTTAGCTCAAGGGGAATTTTCTTTTAGATTTGTTTCTTAAAAAAACAACATTGATTAGTGCAGGCAAGATTGTTGTAAGTGAACACTCCTAGAAGTGATGTGAATCAGAAATGGGATGTTTTGTCCACCTCTCAGAATTAAATGCATACAGGAAATGGTGACAACTTAGACAAACAAGCTTACAGTAAACAACAGCCCAATCAATCAGTTGGACTTTGTCTAATGAATCAAGCTAGTGCCCTGGGGACTGAGTCACTGGGAGCATTTGCATAGCACCAGAGGCTTCTGGGAGAGTGAAAAAAACTCAGTGTGAGCTACAGAGAAGTTGGGCCTCTCAAGGAATCACCAATGCAGATAAACAAGCTAACAGCAAACAACTGCCTAATCAAGGTACAACCAAGAACAGTCCCACCAACAAGGCAAGCCACTAGAATATAAAAAAAGAGCAAACCCCACTCCTTTCTAGCACTGATGATGCTATCTAGTTGGGTAATGAAACATCTTCAAGAAAACAAGCTCAGAGAGCATGAAGGATCCCCAACGGTGGCCATTTCCTGTTTACATGCAGTCTGAAAAGGAGAACTTTCTGGAAGACCAATCATTTTTGTAATAATGAGGACCATGTTTTTCCTGGGCTCATTTGAAGCTGGCAGAAGCCTGACATTACTTGGAAGCAATATACAGTAAATGATTTGCTTTGTCTCAGCTGCATGTGTTATTAATTATAGTACAAATCTGTTGATCGTAGAGGTGTGCAAAATGTTTCAAAATCACAACGTTTCAAGCTTAAAACAGGTCAACCTGACCTTCCTGGAAATGGCCTGGTCCTCTCTAGAGTATTCTGGGCTGCCTTTCAACTTCAAATGGGGTTGTTCCAAACATATTCTGTTTTGAGCTTAAAATGGGTCGTTTTGCATTTGAAATGTTTTTAAGTTAGATTTTGGAAATACCTTGCATACTGCTAATTTGTGTTGCTCCTGCTCCTTTTTGGATTGGGCACAAAAGCAGTAAGAGTGGTCCTTTATGGTAGTCAGAGATTAATATTTCCCTGCACTATATCAGCAAGATATAACTATAACTTGAAATATAAGCTCTTCTCTCTACTACTATTTCAATTTGAATGTAATTGTACTAAAATATGCTGACCTGCTGCTGTGCTTTATCCCAGCTACAGTAAGAGTCCAAAAGAAAATGGATGATTATCATTTGGAAGAAGAAGAAATCTTTACAACTCCTGTAAGTAACATGTGACTCTCACAGCTTTAATCAGACAATCAGAATAGATCTCTAATAGTAAATTCAGGGTCAGAGTAACCACCTTATGCAAAAGAAAGGAAGATGCTAATCGAATGAGTTTTAATAGCAACGGAAAACACTAAAGCAACCATTCTTTTCTGCAATATTGTCTTCCAAAGTTCTTCTAGAGATGTATTATCTTACAATAGTTAATATTTCTGAATAGGTAAACTAATTTGTATATTAGGGCACTCAGATCCACTGCAAAAATCTGGATGGCATTAATTTTCTGTTTGCTGCCACCTAGGAGCCACCCAGAGTTTTGCAGCCCAGATCCGGGAGACTTTTTAAAGTCTAGCACAGAGACTTTTACAGCTACTATAAATATAAATTAGCCTCTTGCACTAGGGTTAGAACTACAGCATTCCTTACAGCATTCCTATAATCTAATTTTTTCTAAACCATATATTTTAATTTCATTTTTTTTCTCGTGTTTCACATAAAAAGTCAGTGTGGGATTTCCAGTTGGCATGAAACTTGAATAATGTCGTATCTCTAATTAAAGCTATTTATTTATTTATTTATTGGTTCAATTTATATGCCGCCCTTCTCCGGAGACTCAGGGTGGCTTACAATGCATTAAGCAATAGCCTTCATACTTTTGTATATACCTGCTTAGTAGGGCTTTCGGCCCCCCCTAAGCAGTGTTCTTTTTTTTATACAAAGTCAGTTTATTACCCCCACAATCTGGGTCCTCATTTTACCTACCTTGAAAGGATGGAAGGCTGAGTCAACCTTGAGCCTGGTGAGATTTGAACTCGCAGTAATTGCAGGCAGCTGGCAGCTAAGTGCTACTTAACAGCGCTTTAGTCCGCTGCTCCACCAAGGCTCCTTTAATGTAAATTAGCCTCTTGCACTCTGGCTACAGAATTCCTTACGTCTTTTCTATAATCTATTTTTTTCCCTAAACCATATATTTTAATTTCATTTTTTTTCCCTATTTCACATAAAAAGTCAGTGTGGGATTTCCAGTCGGCATGAAACTTAAACAATGTTGTATCTCTAATTAAAGCTATCAATTTGGCCTTCTTAACAAGTTCCACCATCTTCCCCATCCATTCCTCCATTAGGGGGGAATGGGGGAAACCTTTATTCCTTTGTGCATATAATGATTTTGCTGCATACCTAAAAGGAAAGTTCAATGGTTCTTTTTCCAGTTGTTTGTCCATCAATCCCAAAAGAAAAGTCTCTGGTTTCAATTTGTCTATGGAGATTCTCAGTCATCAGGTCATGGTTGTCCCAAAGGTGTTTTTTTTTCAAGAGGCAACTGGACTTTCTTATTTTTCTTTGAAGAGCTGAAGAAGCTCCTTGGATGAGAAGTGAAACATCTTCAAAGAAAAACAGTTGCCCCTTGAAAAAAGCACCTTTCGATCTGGTTTCAGTTGTATATTAATCATTAAAACCTTCTGTATTATTATACTCCAAAATTTTCTAGATTTTTAAACTTCCACCAAGCATTATGAAATGTACTTTCTTGTTGTTTATTTTCCAAAATAAATTTGAAGTAGCTTTATATATTCTGGATGGTTTTTCCAATGACCTATATGAATGATAGGGGGATGCGGTGGCTCAGTGGCTAAGACGCTGTCGATCAGAAAGGTCGGCAGTTTGGCAGTTCGAATCCCTAGCGCCACATACTTGCCTCAACTTCTGCCAATCTAGAAGTTTGAAAGCATATAAAAATGCGAGTAGAAAAATAGGGACCACCTTGATGGGAAGGTAACAGCGTTCCGTGCGCCTTTGGCATTTAGTCATGCCGGCCACATGACCACAGAATTGTCATCAGACAGCGCTGGCTCTTCGGCTTAGAAATGGAGATGAGCACTGCCCCCTAGAGTCGGGAATGACTAGCACGTATGTGCGAAGGGAACCTTTACCTTTACCTATATGAATGATACATCATTTTATAAAAAAATTCTTTAATGTTATAACATAGTGTAAATATAAAGTCTTTCAACCACATATTCCCCCATTTGTATATTATAATCCAAATTTTAAACCATTTTATTATACATACTGTCATTTGTTCTTCTGTTTTAATTTTTTTAAAAAATTATAACATACAGTATATAGGTAATCCTCGACTTTCAATCATTTATTTAGTGACTGTTTGAAGTTACAATGGCATTGAAAAAAGGACTTGTGATAGTTTTTCACACAGCCATTGCGGCATCTCTGTGTTCACATGATCATAATTTGGCTGCTTGGCAACCGGCATGTATTTATGACGGATGCAGAGTCCCAGGGTCATGTGATCACCTTTTGTAACCTTCTGACAAGCAAAGTCAATGGGGAAGCCAAATTCCCTTAACATCCATGATACCAACTTAACAACTGCAGTGGTTCACTTAACAACTGTGGCAAGAAAGGTTGTAAAATGGAGCAAAACTCATTTAGTTGTGGCCTGTCAGCAGCCTGTGCAGTTAGTAGCTGATTCCAACATTGAGGAGGCTGGTGTGGTGCTGCGCCAGCAGCCTGTGCAGTTGGCACTCGAATCAGACAATGAGGAGGCTGGAGAAGATGTGGTACCAGAGGCGAGGAGTGAAGAGGAAGAGCCTCTTCTCAATGCACAAGTGCGCAGAGCTGCGAAAAGGCAGGAGTGGCTCTTCAGGAGGAGGTCTCCTCGAGAGTAAGGCTTGGGGTTAATTGGCCACTCCCCTAGCCTATTTAAGGAAGGATGACAAATGATACAATTTGCAGAAAACAACTTTGTCCACATTCCTTCGCGTCTTGATTCCAGAAAACGTTTGATTTGGCTCTTGTTTCTCTCTTATCAGTTTTCCTGCAAATTGCTTCTGGGCATTCTGCCAACCACAGTAAGATTACGGTTATCTGAAATATTGTGCCTCAGAATTGTTATTATTCTTTAGATTCTTGTTGGCTGTTAATGAAGTTAAATTAACAGCCTTTGTTCAGAAAAGACTGATTTAAATTAGTAAACTAAGGTTTGTACGGACTTTGTTTGTGCTGCGTTCTTAGGGGTCCGTAGCTGGGACAGAACAACTGCTTACTAACAGAATTTTTGACCTCATAAATTGACGTCTACCAGTAACATGTTCATCATTTGTACACAAATTCAGCCTTACAATGTTCAAAACCAAATTATTTAATCTATAGTCCTTTACATCTGCCTAATAATTGTACGTAGGAAAGCCATTGACATGTCTATCCTTCCACCGCCAGCTCTTCTCTTTATTTTACATTCTTCTTGTCTACGGCTGGTATATGTCTGGAGGGAGAACAAAAACAAACTTCATTATTCTTTCAGGTTCTCCAGCAGTGTACACCACATGGATTCTGAAAACCACTAGCAGTGGATGTTGACTGCCTACTGAGGGTTCATGCTCAAGAGGTGTTCTCCTTAAGGTGTGTGTGTGTGTGTGTGTGTGAGTGTGTCTGTGTATAATCTTTAGAGGCCGTCCAGCTCATAATTGCACTGGGTGTTGCAGAAGTTAAAAACAGTAAAAAAGCTGAAGGAAGGTGAAAACCCAGGGATTGAAATACTAAAATGTTAATACATTTTCTCTCTGAGCACTATTATGTACTCCCGTGCCTCTTTAAGGTCCATTTAAAGGATGGTAGGGTTGGGACAACTCAAACCTCTGGCCCAATGCTGCTTCAGAGGGCTGGCACCACAACACAGAAGATACATTGCCTATATCGCATCATAATTGTCATGGTCCCATCAGAGCCTAAGTCCATGGAGGAGGATGAGCCAGAGCTGGGGCTGATGGAGGTCAAAGGGGTGGCCTCGTTGGCTTTGGAGGAACACGGGGAGGAGCAGGACAAGGCAGGCCTGGGTCCCTTGGGTTTGGGACAGTTTGCCAGCAGGGAAGAATGGGGGCAGAACGACCAAGAGAGGGCAGGCAATGGAGATGAGGAGCAATGGAGTTCAGGCAACGAGCAAGGACCACCCCCTCCTGATCCCTGAGCACAGAGAGTGGAGGAGGTGGGAACAGCGCAGGTCAACCCGACAACTCGGGGGAGAGTGCCCCATCCCTCTTCACAAGGCACACCTGGGGGATGAGACTTAAGGAGACGTTGTGGGGAGTGGAGCTTGTTGGGAACAAACCCTACATTTCTGGAGTTTTGTGTGCCGTTGCTGATGCCTGGAGTTCACTGGACTTCTTGCCTTGTTCCTTTGCTTCATGGAACTCATTGCCTTGTTCCCTTGCCTCGCTGGATTTCTTGCCTGGAAGCTGTTGTGCTAACAGTGTTTTGCTGGATTACTCGCAGCCAGAGGCTGCTGGAGGTGTGTGTGTGTGTGTGTGTGTTTTGCTCCGGGACTTGCCATAAACGTGGGAGCATTTGGGGGAAAGTTGGAGCAATAAAAGTGGGTTTGAAATATCAGCTGACTGTGTTGCCTCCATGCCTTGCCCCGGGTCATCACAATAATATAATTTTGAAGATCGGACCTAGTGCATGACCACTTAATTAGGCAGAAACAAACAAACAGATAAAGCAGTTATCTGTGAATATCACTGAATATTTACAGCAATCTTTAGATGTTCTCTTGGTTCCTTCTTCCCAAGAAATGAGTGTTGTGACCCCAACTCCTGAGCCTGTCCTAACAGAGGAAGAGGACTCAGAAGGTGATGGGGAGGAACTGACAAGGCCTCCCTCTCCAGGACCCTCCTCTCTGGCAATACCTCAGGTTTCATCCGAAGGCCAAGAGGAACAGTCTGGGATATGCCAGGAGGAAAGCATATCGGAACGACAACAGATAGGGAGCGAGGATGATGAATCCTGGCTTGATCCCAGGCAGCGTCGGAGGGAGAAGCGTGCGCAGCAACAAAAGAGGCGTGGGAGGGCCAGAGATTGAGCTGAGTCACTGAGCCACAGCCCACAAGGAATAAAAGTGGGTGTGATTGCTCTTCAGGCTTTGTGACGGTCAAAGTTAAAAACCTCAGAGTCACATCGCATTACCTGAAATCTGGCTTGTACATATTTGGATTGGACCTTGGCTAACTCTTGCTTTGTGGATTACTTTTTTGCTACTGGACCGGACTGAGGATAAACTCTCTCTTGCTTACTGTGAGTGAAAACTGACTTGGCAGGCATTTCGCAGTTTACTGCCAAAACTCTTATCTGCAAGGGATTCTAGTCTGATTGCATAATAAAACCTTGGCAGGCGGGCCTGGTTGTGTGTTTGCCTGTGTAGGGAAGGGGGGACAGAACAATGAGCTTGTTATCTTATCTGCAGATACTCTATGTATCTTCTTCCCATAAAATGAGCTCTTATTTAGTTGGATTTTTCCTCCATTGGCGTGCTAGAGTGCCTCTTCTGTCATTTCATTTCCTGGTGCTCCTTGGAAAACCAGGGAGCTCCAAGGATTGACAAAAGGGAAAGACCACATGGAACCCATCTGATCAAAGATTTCTGGCACCTGCTTGTTTCAAACAGTGATGTAGTCATTCTATTGCAGTGGTCTCAAACACATGGCCTGCGGGCTGGATGCGTCACGCACTGGCCACTCCCACCCCCATTTTAGCAAAGGGGAAAAAAGTTGCGATATGTCATGTTGTCGTCACGTGAGTTTGACACTCCTGCTCTATGGGATCCTCAGGAAAAAACCATTCTCCCAGCTTCTTATATCCATCTGGGTCCAATAGTTGCTTGTGGTAATAGCTATTTGCAATGAAAGCTTTAGAATGGTTAAGTATATTATACAAATTTTTCCTTTTCTTTTTTTCCTTCTTGTCAAAAGGCAACATAATTTAACAAAATTATGGGATGGGTCACCTAGTCATTCTTCAAAAGTGTCCCCTATCCATTATCACCCGTGTTTACTTTATAACCCCAAAAGCATCTATTCAGAAGGATATAGTATTTGCCTCTTTTGGGCAACTCCACCCTTCAAGTAAACACTGCAAAGTTTGTGTATTTTCTCACGTTACTCACAGTGATAGGGACACTTTGAAGTTTCTGTCTTGTGCCCAGGGGTGGGCTTCAAAAATTTTAGCAAGGGGTTCTCTGCCTGGTTGCTGGGTGGGTGTGGCCAGGGTGGGCGTGGCCTAGTTGGCCTCCTGCACCACAGTGTGTGTGCGTTTTTGCCCTCCCAAGGCTTCAGAGTCTTTCTTCGAGCCTCCGGGAGGGCAAAAACGGACTCCCCAGGCTCTGGAGGCCAGAAATGGGCCCATTTCCGGCCTTCCCAAACTTCCAGTAGGCCCGTTTTTCGCCCTCCCCGAGCCTCCGTGTGTGCCCTGCACTTACCTGCATCCAAAACGGGCCATGTGGGGACTCCTGGGACGGGTGGGTGGGGCCAGCCAGAAGTGGGATTTGAGGGTTCTCTGAACTGCACAGAATCTTAGCTAGAGGTTCTCCCGAACCCCTGCAGCCCACCCCTGCTTGTGCCCTATATGATAGTCTTTAAGTTCCCACAAGCCCCTTCATCAATTTCTGTTTGCATTTTCCCATGCTGTAACAATAATCAATAATCAGCTTTCCTGGCTCCCTTTTTATTACCTTTTTTTTTTTTTGCACCCAGCCCTTGGATTTGTTATCCTGCAGGCCCCATCTTGAAACATGTGTTTTTCTTCCTCTCTGAGGTCTAGTTCCGGGCTTTTGTTCAAGCACAAGTTCTGTTTGGATTTCTCTTCCCTGTGTCTACTTGAATATTCAGAAAGTCATCAGCTAATCTGATATGTTTTTTCTAAGTTATGTAAAAGACTGATTTGCTTTGACAGGTGGATCAAGAGCAGAATTGGAGCTATTTTATCTGGACCTAATTAAACAACCGTCATTACTGGCAGGCAGGTATGTGTTTGTGATGACTTAAAATTATCTTGATTGGAATGAAATACAGACTATATAAGCCATTGAATTAACTGGTTTAAAATGCAATTTTTAAATACCTGGTACACAGGCTGCATTTTGCACGATGTAAAACTATGGTAACACCATCACGTTGAATCCCATTTTGCTTTCTTCCAGGAGATTTTCATGTGATTTTGCTTTCCATATTATTTCATTCATTGCTTAGAGCTGCCAAATGGATTGTACGCCATTTTATTCATTGTGTCTTAGAGAACGGCTAATAATATCTGTCACCACTGATCTTGTTCATTGTGGCTTTCTTTTTGTGATCTAAAATGATGGTATTCACCAGGATTATTTTAGTGATGTAATTTTTACAATTTTCTTTTGAAAAATAGTATCTTACTCTTGATCTATAGGCAAGAAATGCAAAAACAAGTAAGATTTCATATAGAATCAGATTTAATCTGAATTAAGCTTAGTTTTGAATGATTCTTATAGTGTGATTCTTAATAAGAAAGAGGCATTGTTTGGGTAAATTGCCTGCTATTTCCAAGACTGAGGCAGGTTTTTTTAAAGTCCTGGTAGTATTCATACCTATATATTTAGCATTTTACTTTTTTAAAATATCTACAGAAGGAATTATTATTTGATAGAGCACACTTTTTATGTACAAAAGTAGTGTACATATCTTTCTCCTTTCTAGTTTCTCATCTCCAGCAACAATGCTGTGAGATAAAGATGAGATGGAGCCAATTTGGTCTAGTGGTTAAAGCACTAGCTTAGAAAGTGGGGATGCGAGTTCAAGTCCCTTAGCATGAAAACCAGCTGGGTGACTTTGATGAGAGTGTTATCTCTCTCTCTCAGCCAAACACACCTCAAACAGCTGTTCTTGTAGGAAAAATAGAAGTCATATTGGGTATATCAGCTGCTTGAGTTATTTGTTAAATATAGGTACATACATACAAACAAATCAAATATGGGTTACCAAGAGTCCCATTCCAAGACCTTAATTCTTACACCACTGTGGCTTTTCAGATGCACAAGAATTGAATGGATTTTCATTTTGGGGGTTTACAGGGACTTTTATCGTAACCATTATTTCATCTGTGGAATATCCATTTTGGGATCTGGATCTAGGGTTAACTGCCATGGAAAAGTTATGTTTGCTTGTATCAATTCTCACTACAGCTTTCAGGTGGCATTGAATAGCTCTCCTTCACCCATTTCTATGAATTTGTATAATTTTTCTGAGGTGGTTTGGATTCTTTGTTTTCATTTAGTTTCATCTTTTATTTTTTCCCTAAGTGAATGTTATCCTACAATAGGAGATGTTGAGGAACCAGTTTCTATTTCAGATTCAGGCAATTGTTTTAAAGTTACAGAAATGGAGAACAAAGACGTGAAGGAAGGTTCAGGTGTTACAAAATAAATGTTGTATATGCAACATGTTTTTTTTCTCTAAATACAACAATTTTATCAATATTATGTCATAGGTTATCATGGAATTTTGGTGGCATATGTTTTGTGGCCAGGAAAAAAGTGGGTTGATAGCAATAGCACTTAGACTTTATATACCACTTACAGTGCTTTACAACCTCTTTAAATGGTTTACAGAGTCATCATATTGCCCCCAACAATCTGGTCCTCATTTGACCGACCTTAGAAGGATGGAAGGCTGAGTCAACCTTGAGCAGTGAGACTCAACTGCTGTCAGTCAGTAGTCAGCAGAATTAGGCTGCAATACTACATTCTAACCACTGTGTGACCATGGGTCTTAGATAGTGAGTGGGATCCACATAAATGACACAAATTGCATATTGCCATTCTCGAACAAATCTTGAAATGATATTATCATCTCTCTAATACTTGTAAAGGGATGACATCCACTAGTTTAACTCAGGAGTAATTTATTAAAAATGTTATCTGAAGTGCAAGCTCAATGGGGTTCGGGTTAGGCTTAGGTTTAGGCTATAGGTTAGGGTTAGGTTAGGGTTAGGGGTTAGGGTTAGAGGTTAGGGTTAGAGGTTAGAGGTTAGGGTTAGGGTTAGAGGTTAGGGTTAGGGTTAGGCTTAGGTTTAGGATTAGGCTTAGGGTTAGGTTAGGGTTAGGGGTTAGGGTTAGAGGTTAGGGTTAGAGGTTAGAGGTTAGGGTTAGGGTTAGAGGTTAGGGTTAGGGTTAGGCTTAGGTTTAGGATTAGGATTAGGATTAGGGTTAGGTTAGGGTTAGGGGTTAGGGTTAGAGGTTAGAGGTTAGAGGTTAGGTTAGGTTAGAGGTTAGAGGTTGAGGTTAGGGTTAGGGTTAGGATTAGGTTAGGGTTAGGGTTAGGGTTAGGGTTAGGGTTAGGGTTAGGGTTAGGGTTATGGGTTATGGTTTGGTTAGGGTTAAGGCAAAATCACACTTCCCTGATCAATGAATTCACCTAATGATGGCCACTTCAGTGCAAAGGCTGAAACTCCTATAAATGATTAGAATTTTACTTATCGCTGAGTGTGATGGAATGTGCACCTGGAGAAGCAGTGGGGGAGTTTTGGCAACACAGACTTTTCCCAAATAGAGATTGTGAAAGTGCAGTTCCAAGCTGCCTGGGGCAGTGGGAAGACATTCAGGGTAGCCACATCCTAGAACCTCTTAGGATTTAGGTAATAGTTTAGAAAGTTACAGATGTGTTTGGCCAACTTTTGTCCACTTGGTATGAGCAAACAAAGATTGAACTCAACTGGTCTTCACTGTGTGATCTTTGGGCCTTGGCCTGATACAAAGTTATTTCAAAAAGTTTTCTGACAAAGATCTGTGTAGCCCTAATTACTAGTATTTACAGAGGAAGAAAAATGCCAGAAACCTAATTTGAAAAGGAAAAACAAATGAATGAAGCATGCCAACAGCATGCCGACAGATTATGCAGGTCCATATGCAATTAAATTCACCCTTCACAAAATTCCTTTCTCACATGCATTTAGCAAACTGGCATCAAGCAACAATCAATGTATGAACCATGAAAGCAGATCATACCAGCTGAAAAAGCAATCCAGGTTCTCTTTAAGGAAGAAAACCTCTTTCTCCCCCCATCCCCTGCATTGATACACTGAATTATAAATTAGCCTAGGGACACCATATAGATTGTGCTCTTGTCATGCGTATAAAATTCTATTCAATTAATAATTTTGCTTTTCAATAAAAATACACCGGAGTAGCAAGTGAATGCTAACCCCATTCTGGGTGCATGATAAATGTAAATGAAGAGAAGCGAATGAAACGATTTCCTGTTGGTTTCTCTCTTTGCACAGAGCTTAAACATTTTCCCCATTATACTTTTTAGATATATCTTTTAGTATTGACTTTCAGTATTGTGGTCTGCACCACTACACATTTATGTATCTTATCTACCTCATACTATTTTGTGGATGCTCAGATTAGATCATGAGTTATTACTTAATATATGAATTTCTCATAAAAATGAAATCTTATGGCTCCAAGATTCAGGGGTTCTTCAGATAAGAATTATAATTCCCAGTAAGGATTCTTACATTTTGTGGGGGTCTTTTACATGTATCTTGTCCTATCAAGTTTGCATTTGTTTTCTACTCCTAGGAAATAGTATTGGTTTTTAATTTTTGATATTTTCCCTCATTAGTTATGTTGAATTCCTTTTGGATAGAAAGTATGGGAATAAACTCTAATAGCTATGCATTATAATTCACAAAAAGAGGAAACGTGTCACCAAAAAACAAGATACAGATGTGCGTAAGATGAACATTTATTAATATGTTGATAAATCTGCAACTATATATTTAAAGTATAATCTACTTCACCAGTGAAGGAGATCGTAACACAGGTTACTTCTGATTTCCTTGCTTAGTTGCTAACTCCAAAAAGCAATCCTTCTTTGTTTCATTTTTAGCATGTTTATTTTATAAATATAATAGGATTCTTAGAGTGGTTTACAAGAAAAGTTAATCCATGAGATTGTTTGAACAATGAACACACACACACACACACACACACACACACACAAACACACACACACACCTTGCCTTGGTGACATACAATTGCCTTGTAACAATGAGACATGGAAAAGAACCACTCAAGCAAATCTCGCACTTAAGGACTTTTCAAGTACTAAAACATTTTAAATCTAAGATTTCCTTGTTTATATGTTTTGAGCTGTATTTATGCAACCATGGAATTATATTTTGTAAGAATGTTAATTTGCTGTTCCTCTTCTTCCTCTTTCTTTCTTTCTTTCTTTCTTTCTTTCTTTCTTTCTTTCTTTCTTTCTTTCTTTCTTTCTTTCTTCCTTCCTTCCTTCCTTCCTTCCTTCCTTCCTTCCTTCATTCATTCATTCATTCTTTCATTCTTTTCCTTTTTTCCTTAATAAAATGTCTATAACTACTATAACTAGTACTTCTATAACTAGTACTTCTGTAACTACTATTGTTAATCAACATTTTGAATTGTGCTATGAAAGGACCAAGCTCCAGTGTATTCCTAAAAGTGGCTTCATAGTTTTTTTATCCATCTGGATGTAGTCAATTACATTGACACCTATTGTACTGTATGTGAAACTTCTGTATGTAGTTTCTGAATGGACTTCAGCAGTATCCCTTATATAATTTATTATAATACTGCAATCAAGATAATTCTGCTGAATAAGGATGTAGTTGGTACACCATTCTCAGTGTAGGGAAAATGCATTGTGTACTAATCAAAGGAAGCAGGAGGTTAGAGATTTGTCCAGATCACAGTTCACAGAGGAGAAGAAACAGGGTGATGATGTCTTTCCTCTGGCTGATGCCCAAGGAATACAAGGCCTCTCACATCCTTTGATCACAACTGCAAAATTCCACTTCCTTCAGGAAAGACACTGTTAGCCGTTCAAGAAAGTCAGGGAGCAAACAACTTTTATCTAACAAAAATTACCACTATATAACTTTCTTAAAAATTGTATTTAAGCTAAGGAAAATCCTTAGACACAATTATATTAAATCAAATTTATCAAC